TCACCACTGGTTATTTTATTTTTTTATTATATAAAAAGACTGTACATTTTGAAAAGAAAAAAAAAAAGCATTTTCCACTTTCTGTAATAAAAAATATATATATATATATATATATATATATATATATATATATATAAAAAAGTCTTCATAAATTTAGGTTAAAATGTATGCTGCTACATGTCTTCAGTATAAAAAAAATCCCAATAGGTGTATATTAATTGGCTTGTGTGATAGTGTCTATAAATTATGGTATATGTACACTGGAATTTAGGCAGCTGTGACACTATACTGGTAACGGCAGTAATTAACGACTTATAGTGGGACTGTGATAGTGTGGCAAGCAATCTGGTGCTAGCTGATGTTGGCTGGGAGGTACACTATGTGACTAACAGACAATGACATCTATAGTGACACTAATACAGTGATCAGTGCTAGTATTGACATCTATACTGACACTAATACAGTGATCAGTGCTAATACTGTACATGTCACTGTACTAATGACATTGGCTGAGAAGGGAATAGCACCTAGGGGCAATCAAAGGGTTGTTTGCCCAACAGTATGTAATGTGTGTAATAGGTGCAGTTTTTTACTCTACTATATGACTGTTTTTTTCTCCCTGCTTTTCAGGGAGAAGAAACAGCCAGATCACTGTTCACAATACACAGAGTTATTTGTTTTAGTAAACAATGAACTCTGTGTGTGAATGGACACAATCAACTGATTTAAGCTGAAATCATTGGCTGAAATCAGCTGCCAAACTCGTACTGTACCCAATCACAGCACGGGTTGGCGGGGGTGCATGCATGCGCCTCAAACCCACAAGGCAGCCGGTCACATACATGTACGTGACTGCTGGCCGATTGCAGTATATTTACTGTTGGCAGCTGGTTAAAAAAAACCAACTAACACCTTTTCCTTCCAAGCACTGTTTGCAGCTGCCAAAAACACAAGTATTGAAAAAGAAAGGAGAGTTATGCATATAGTTAACTTTACACCCTCAGGTTAAAATCTACACTTGGCTATCTGGGCACAAGGCAAGATTAGGATCTCACTGGCTCCTACAGTATATTTGCAGCTGGTTAGTCAAGAGCCCGCTTTAGAGGTTATTAATTTTTTTCATCACGGCCAAACAAGCAGCATGTCACTCACGGTAAGAAATGCAAATACACAAATAAATTAGGTTCTATAACCGGGAAGACTTATTACCCTTACTGTTTGCTAAGCATTAATAAAATGTGAAGACAGAGTCCTCCTTATGAAATGTGAAATATATACCGGTATACATTTGCTGCATGCCTAATTATTGTGTAAATTGTCTTTGTATTATACATACAGGCATACATTTATCACAGCAATCTAGCTACATAATGGAAGAAGCAGTTACATCAGTGAAGCCCGAGTTTCTATTTCTGCTTTCCAGCGACGTGGAGGAAAGTCTTTTAAATAAGCGACATAAAGGATCAGATTGAAACGTCTATTACTGACTGTACACAACAGCCCAAGTATCAAATCTACTCAAGCCAGGATCACGTCTATTAATTTTGTCAGAGATGCTTACTGTATTTCCTTGTGGTTTATTTATGGATATTTTACAAATATAGAGCACAGCTACAACTGAGTTTTCAGGTCCCTGACCAATAATAACAATTTAAAGTAATAATGCCCTGATATACTTCTCAGTACCACGCGTTTCACCTCCACTAGCTTCTTCCACTCTGCAGACTTTGCATCAATTTGTTTTACAAATTACCGGCTCAAAAATCTGACAACTGATATTTCCATCTTCTCAAGGCAATCCGGAAGAAAATGTATTTTAAGTCGGCGCAGAAGACACACCAGAAAAGAAAAATCAGGCTAAAATTATGATTTATGTGTCTTGTGAAATCCGCTGCCGTACAATATGTTCAATCTCTGTGTCATTCCTCTGTAGGTTATCAAAATAAATTCTTTCAAGCCTGTTAAAAAATTAAATGATATCAAAAATATTATGCAGAAAAAAAAGTTGCTAAGGGAGTCTGTCACCCAAGGGAAAAAATCCAAATCCATAATATACATTTTATTTAGCATCTTACACACGATGTATCTTTTAGAGACGGTAAAGTTTCATGTCATCTATCAGATGACAATGCACATAAGTTCCACATGTAAATTAACATGGAGTGATAAGTTAACGTCTAGGTGGCATTACACATGGCTCCCAACATGCCCCCTACTGGAGGGATTGTCACTTCTAGACCACTGCCCCTTCTTTCCCTTGACCATCCTTGATATACAGAAATGATACAGTATGTGGATAATGGAATGAATTGTCAAATGTGATTAATTAAATTGTTTATCCAACCACTAAGCTATTGAATTGGTATTGAAAAATAATTGTATAATTGTATAAAGAGACAGCAATGGTGAAATAGTCACTAGTGGCATTACTGTAAAGTATATCTACTGTATGCCTTGGGCAAAAATGTGATTTATTGCAGTTTACAACTCCCAAAATATGTTGGCTGTATTCATTTAGTTTTTAACCTCCCTGGAGGTATTCCTGAGTGTAGCTCGGGGTAAAGTTTTCAGCACCACAAGCAGTAACCCCGAGCTACACTCGGGAATACCTTGCAGCGTTGCTCCGGGATCTCTTCTTCACTTACCTTGTCCTGCGCTCCTGCGATGTCCCTCCTGCAGTGTCCCCTGTAATGTCCTTTCGGCTGATGCAGGCATCTGTCTTCTGGGTTCCATTCCCTGCGACGTTAGGACATACGGGGGACAGAACTGGCGGGAAATTTGAAAATGGTAGAAGTGACATTCACTAAAATCACATAGTAAAACATTACTGTATCAAACCATTTCACATACATTTTGTCCCGAGTACTTTGTCCTGTGCCCTGCCTACATTTTTACCGTTCTTTCTGCCTGGAAACTGAGAAATGTCCATGGTGTCCAAAAAGCGTCCCTTTAGGTTTAGACCGGCTAGAGAACAGCGATAGTAAATCAGAACCACTTGCAGAATTGAGTGATAATGATTAGTGGGGGAAATTCGTCATCAGACACTGAAAACACAATTTTGTGACTTTGCTCAGTGATGTGCGAACTTGGCGCTATATTTCACATTTCAGTGTTTTTGGTTTGATTACATTATTGAATTAAATTTATTATATTATTTTTTATGATTATTTATTAAATTATAATGTATGATTTCGTGTTTCAAATTTTAACATACCCGGGATGTTTACTAGACTCTTGTTCGGACAGATTTCAGTGAGTTATTCCTAAAAATTACAGCCTACAATAAAAAAAAAAAACTACATATTTCCATGCAAAAAAATTTACCGCTTTGAGCACAGAAATATGGACATAATCAGACCGCTAGGGAGGTTAAAGACTAAGTACATTTTATGCAAGTATAGAAAAAAAGAACTTGTTGATCCTGCCAGAAACTAGATGTCATTGTAATTTACTGTGCACTGAAATTTTAATTTAAATTGTGGGGAAGAGGGGGGGAGGGATAGTATTACAAATCTGGAGAGCAGCCTGTGGTGACAACACTGCTCCTCCATAGATACAATACAGTGAGTGAGCACTGTCAAGCTAAGGCAAAAGTGTGTTACTGACACCATCAGCAGGTAAAATCATCAGATCATATGTTCTAATCCTTGTTTTACTAAAAATATGTTTTTGTCTGTGTCCCAGATAACAATACAAACCTGACAGAGGCTCTATAGTGTCCCTCTCTAAAAAGGGGCTGTAGTTGGGCTTTAACTTTAAAAAATATGTCAACCCAACATTTCATATTCCTGATACATGCCTGCTGTACCATGTACTTCTATTAAAAATATCCTGTTCTCTATTGCTTCCTTTGTGTGAAATCCCTGGTGTTCCTGCCAGTCCCTCTGCTTTCCTATTTCAAGCAGACCACACTACGCATGAGAGCACAGTGTTATCAGTTTTCTAGCTGAGCTGGGAACCCAGCCTGCTCTCTTCCAGTGATCAGACTTGTGCTGACAAGCCACACTGCCCTTTTCACAGCCATTCACTGGGAAGATCAGTGTGCTGCTGTTTCTCCTCATCCAGCTCTCTGAGCTCCTTATAGTAAAAGTACAAGCAACTCACAAAAGATGGATTGTGGCTTGTGGACCATGAGCATAGCAGGATACACTTGAATCCAAAAGCGCAGCTGGCAGCTTGTCATCTTGGGGCATAGACACCCCCAGTGGGACCAAACCGGATTTGCAGTCTCACGTGTTTACAAGCGCTATTTCATCCATCTATTGTGAGTTGCCTGTACTTTTACTTTTAAAATGTTTCAATTGTGCTGTACTTAGAGACGCTGATACCCTTCTAATGTGAGCTAGAAGATATTCTGGAAGCGACAAAAAAGAACTGGCTGCCTTCAAAAGCTTATTACCGTACTTTTGGACTTTTTTTTTTTTTCTTATGGACATTTCATTATCCATTAAGTTATATATACACACACAATATATCTGAGCTCCTTATGCAGCAGAGAACAGAGATTTATGTGATTATTTAAAAAAAAAAAAATTTTTAAAAGTGCTTATAATTTTTTTTATATACCGTATTTTTCGCTCCATAAGACGCACTTTTTTCACAAAAAAATGGGGGGAAATGCCTGTGCATCTTATGGAGCAAATATGGAGCGGCCAGCCCGCTACTCCCCCTGTCGCCGCCGCAGCGTTAGAATACCGGGTCGGCCACTCAGCTCTTCTGTGCAGCAGAACCTGCAGACCTCCAGCAGTCCTACCCATTCCTCGGTCTTCTCTCCCTGGCACAGGCATCTTTAGGATGGGCACCCGGCTGTGACAGCTTGCGGCTTCACGGCTGGGTGCCCACTGTGCATGCGCTTTGTGAATGGCCCTGTAGTCTTCTGGGACCTGCCACGTGTCCCAGAAGACTGCAGGGAGGGAGGGGGAAGGACAACTCAGCAGAAGTGGGTGCAGGTACCTGTCAAATTTGGGTACCCGCTTCCCCCCCCCCTCCGCTCCCCAAAGGTCCACAGTTTCTGGTCATCTCCTGTAGTATGTCCACAGTCTCTGGTCATCTCCTGTACTATGTCTGCAGTGTCTGGTCATCTCCTGTAGTATGTCCGCAGTCTCTGGTCATCTCCTGTAGTATGTCTCGTCATCTCCAGTATGTCTGCAGTCTCTGGTCATCTCCTGTAGTATGTCCGCAGTCTCTGGTCATCTCCTGTACTATGTCTGCAGTCTCTGTCATCTCCTGTCATGTCTCCACTGTATCTCCTGTACTATGTCTGCAGTCACTGGTCATCTCCTGTACTATGTCTGCAGTCACTGGTCATCTCCTGTACTATGTCTGCAGTCACTGGTCCTGTACTATGTCTGCAGTCCATTGGTTCAGAATATTTTTTTTTCTTGTTTTCCTCCCCTAAAACCTAGGTGCGTCTTATGGTTAGGTGAGAAAAATACAGTATCTATCTATACACAAATGTTTTACCTTTCATTTCTATTTTAAACTGAATAGGTTGTTTTAGATGGTAAGGATTTACATATACTTCAAAATATAGAAGAGTGTAATTTCCAATTTTACACATCACGCAAAAAAGATTATTTCAGTTTTATGTAAAGGAAAGGTAGAGAGCGGGGTGGTGGAGTCATGATCACCACCTTGTTCAGAGATCGCTTTGCATTCATTGAGGAAATACACAGTGTTCTCTTAATGGCACCTGAGCTAAGCGAGTGACCTCTTGTGTTCACTAAGACGTGACACAGGACTCAGAAGTTAGCAGCAGTCACTGTAGGTGGTGCCTACTACAGCGATTCCAGCTTCCATGCGGATTGACCAGGTATGACACATACATACTTATTTTGGTCCAAGCTGAACCAATGTAACTATGAAAAAATAGCCATACCGTGAATTCAGCTTAATACATGGCTTTAGCCCATTATCGGGTCACAGGAGTGCAGAACCAACTGCTCTTCTGTAATCCACAGGAGAAGTACAGCCAAACGAGCTTTGGCTGTACTTTTAACAATTTTTTTTTTTTTAAACTTTACCCAAAATATACTGACTCTGACCTTTGACTCTTACCTAAACACTAACACTAACCCTGGTACAGACCTAGACCAAACCTTGATCTATTTTTTATTTTTATATATTTTTCAAATTTTATTTTATTTTTTGTTTTAGGCTCCACGCACACTAGCATTTGTTTAAGCTCCTAGAAGCTGTTATTAGTATTTTTTTCTGCTCCTAAAAGCTAAATAGTGTTATACTTTATGTCCATACACACTCATTTACGCTATTAGCATTTTTTGAGCTTCAGTGTCTAGGTGCAGAAAACATTGGTTTTTGTAGAAATTTTGGAGCATTTTTCTAGCAGAAAAAAATGTTAAACGCTGCTAAAAAACACTTTTTTCCTAGCTTTTTTTTCCTCTCTTCTGTAAAAATGCTAATGAAACACCAGCGCTTCTGAACGCTACTAACAAAAGCTATTAGCAGCATTTTTTACAGGCATTTGTATTTGTTTTTATTTTTCACCCCTGGCAAGGAGAGAAAGGTGCAATGGGGTTGATTTACTAAAACTGGAGAGTGCAAAATATGGTGCAGCTGTGCATGGTAACAAATCAGCTTCTCACTTCAGCTTGTTCAGTTAAGTATTGACAAAAATAACACTGGAAGCTGCTTTGTTTCTATACAGAGCTGCACCAGATTTTGCACTCTCCTGTTTTAATAAATCAACCTCTATCCACTAAGAGAAGAAAAAGAACACAGGTGCAGGCCGCACCATGACTAATCACTGTGACAGCCAATCAGAGGCTATCACAGCAATCAGGTGATCGGGAACTGGGACTCCTGGTTATCAACCAGCAAGCAAAAAAAAAAAAGATTACATTTAGATCCAACTTGTTCATAACCAGCAAATGACACACATGTAAACCATGTTTTCAGCCCATGGTTATATTTCTGAATATAGAAAAGTAAGAAGTAAAGTCTGACTGCACTATAGCTCCTCCTCACATGTATACGAGCATGAATGATTTCATTGTACAAATTGGAAATTTAGCAGTTGTGCAAAATCACTAAGTTACTCAGAACTTGGCATATGCACATATGGGTAAAAGTGTCAATAAAAGAGTAGGCCATCTAATTTGAGGTTAGGTACTGTTGAGCTAAGCAACCAATTCTGGACATATGGGATCCTCTGTCATGATGGTTTTCACCCCATCGCAGCTTCAGTGCAAAGTTAAAGTGTTACTAAACCTACTATAGTAAAATCAGTCTGTATATGCAGTAAAGCATGCTTGTTATACTCACTGTGGAACCTAAGAGGTTAATTCTCTGCATTGTGTAACAACGCTGTTTAATCCTGACTTCTCCGATCCACCCCTTCTTCCAGTGTCCCCCTCTTATCTCCTGAAAAGAGATATCATGTGGAGTTACTCTGAACATGCTCAGTTTGGTGTGTATTGCTAGAGGTTTTTTTTTTCTTGGGAGAGTGCATATCACATGCATCACAGCACAGGGCCAATCAGCACTGTCCAGACAGAGGTTGGGGTCCTGCATCCTCCTAGAGCAAATGAAAACTCCTCCTACAAGAATAACCAGTCCTCGGCTGGACACTGATAGAAGTCACAAGACTGCTCTAACTGCTGATGAGAAAAGGTATTTAGCAGTTTATATTTACTAAAATAATTGCATTTCCATGTTCTGTGTACTGCAGGAGGCCATATATAGTGCATGCAGGGGCATGGGTTTAGTAACACTTTAATGTCCAACACCTACAAGCAAGGTTATTACTAGGGCAGATCAAACCTCTGCAGCATCATACACAGTGAAGTCTACTGCAGACCTAGAGATGCTCCCAGGGACAAGGCATTAGCAGCTTGGGGGCTGTGATGTTTGTCCTAATAAGTTCCCTTTAATCATACTCTCCATAAACCCTCAGATGAAGTTCTAAGTGACAGTAAATTGAATTACCACTTCACTTTTGCCAGGACTTATGCCTTTCCTAGTTTATCCTTTTTACACCATACAATCCACTTCTGAACATATTTGTCTAAACTAAAATTTTAGTTTCATTTTTGTATTGAATGGTGCAATTGGACAAGTTCTTTCCATTCACCATCAGCAACAATACAAAATTTCCTTAAAGCTACTCCCCCCCCCCCCCCCTCCAACCACCAAACAATCAAATGCAACCTGACCATTACAGTCTCCCTGCGGATTTACTGGATGTTTCCCAGCAGACACTGATCATTCTCCACGCCACTGTGATTAATGATAGGATTTCACACTTGCACAACACTACACTATCTGTGTTAGATGCAGCAATGAGAGGGGGTCTGGTAATCGACAGATTTGTAGTCATGCAGTGTTCATTCCCCTGGTCTACGCTCCCTTCTCAGTGATATCTATTTTTATATCATCAGTTACATGGCCCAAAGCTTAATCACATGTAACTTTGAAACAAATTGTGAGGGTGCCTTTTGTAGTGCTTGACTCGATAAATCACACTTGCTACTCAAAACGATGGTCTCTGGTGGGTTTATTTCAGCCATTTAAAAGAAAGAAGGAAAAAAAAAAATACACCATTCTGTAGTTTGCTCTATCCGTAATTAAAGACAGGTAATATGACGTGCACAAAGCACAATATTTACATTAAAGGTGAGGAAAAAAAAAACAGTACAGATTTTAGATTTGGTAATCTCCAATGCTTAAAGGAAAAAAAAAAAAAACAAAAAAAAAAGAGAGAGAGGGGAAGACAAAGTATGTAATTTCACAAAATCAAGGTATTCTGATCATTTGACCATGCTAAAATATCTAATCTAATATATGAAACAAATCATTTGAAGGGTAACCATATGGGGCTGACCTCTTAAATGGTTAGTAATCTTACCTTGCAACACCAAAGTTCCCACTAAGAATACAATTTGTGTGTGGAGTTTCTATGTTTCCCCCATATTACACCCAAAAGCAAACATTTATAATACTGCAGCTTAACAATTCTTAGATGTGATGGCTGCATTAGTTTTCTTTTATAGGCTTCTTTCTTCTATTTTCATCTAGTGATCCAGCCAATATGTCTGTTTTTTTTTTTCTTTTTCTTCAGAAAAGCTCTCAAATTGTTAGTGTATTTAAATCTGCTAGTACATCTAACACTCCCCTATCCCCAGACTGGCAATGCTGCTGTCCAAATCTACCCCCTGTGATCCTTCATCCAGAGTGATGTCTGTATAATACAGGAGGTTTGTTACTGGCCAAATTACCAGGTAAAAACAGAGGGGAAAAAGCCTAAAAAAGAAAACTAATTCAGCCATCACTTCTAATGATTGGTAAACTGCTATATATTTATATTTTTGGTTTGGGTTTAATACCACTTTAATGTAGGTATTCAACTGTTTAAAGCCGTATTAAAACCAAAAAAACAAAAATTTGTGGTGGCTGCATTCATCTTCGTTTTTTTTACGGTTTCCCTTTTATTTTGACCTGGTGATCCAGCCAGTAAGACTCTTACTTTTCAACTTCCTAACAGACCAAGCTGTACTGAAAAACTGGCTGTTAGCGGAATGAGACAAACCATTTACCACTGACAGGAGTGCTTACAATGGTCAGCTTTCATGCACAGATGACTATGTAAATCACACCTGGAATCGGCAAAAGTAGTGTAGAACTACTTTTCAAAGTGATGCAACTCCGACCAAGTCAGAGTCGCAACAATTAGAACGGTTTCATTGCTGATCATTGGATGCGATTTGTCAAGCAGTTTGAATGGTCAGATCGCATGACAAGTCACATCAGTGCTTATGTAAAACTTTTATCCCAAAAGAAAAAAATTGTTGCTTTACCTTCATTAAAAGCGTTAGGAGTCTGTGTTTTGATCCAGGCATCGGACCTGCACACATGTACATCCTAAGATGCATGTAGAGATCCAAGCAGGTCCATGTAGCTGGATGCCTGGGCTTTCTGCATGGGTCTGCACAAACAGCTTTGAGGGTAAAGATGGCCCCTACGGAATGGTATATCCGTGTGAACGAGGCCTGAAGCTCAACTGAACTTTTAGTTTAAATATATTCCAGATGCATCAGAGCAAAAAAGTATGTAATTTACAGTGTGTTTGCCATAGAAATAAAATAAGAAACAGCCTGAGTAGAAAAGCCTGTCCCCTGCCAACATTGTGTAGAGAAGGTCCATTCTCTTCCTGTAAAGGTCCATGTAGCAAAATTCAAGCTTATTGCTGATTCGAGAACAATGGCAAGGAATGTGTCAGCGCTCTGCAAGGAGACTATTGCTTCAACAAAAAACCAAGGTCCTTCGACAGAATGCTGGCAGGGGACAGGCTTTTTAATTTTAATTTAAAATTTTTTAATTTGACTGCTTTCTAAAGAGAACAAACTGTGAGGACCAGTTCACACCAGTGGTGCTGGAAA